TGTATGGCTAAGTTTTCAAAAGCAATTGGCAACAAAAACAAAAATGGGGCCGGGCGCGGTGGCTCAAGCCTGTAATCCCAGCACTTTGGGAGGCCGAGGCGGGTGGATCACGAGGTCAGCAGATCGGGACCATCCTGGTCAAGATGGTGAAACCCCGTCTCTACTAAAAATACAAAAAATTAGCTGGGCACGGTGGTGCGTGCCTGTAATCCCAGCTACTCGGGAGGCTGAGGCAGGAGAATTGCCTGAACCCAGGAGGCGGAGGTTGCGGTGAGCCGAGATTGCGCCATTGCACTCCAGCCTGGGTAACAAGAGCGAAACTCCGTCTCAAAAAAACAAAAAAAAAACAAAAATGGATACATGGAACGTAATTAAAGAGCTTCTGTTCAGCAAAAGCAACTATCAACAGAGTAAACAGACAATACACAGAATGGGAGAAAATATTTGCAAAGCACACATCCAACAAAGGTCTAATATCCAGAATCTGTAAGGAACTTAAATCAACAAGCAAAAAGCAAACAACCTCTTTAAAATTGAACAAAGGACATGAACAGATACTTCTCAAAAGAAGACATGCAAGTGGCCAACAAACATATGAAAAAATGCTCATTATTACTAATTGTCGGAGAAATGCAAATCAAAACAACAGTGAGACACATTTCACACCAGTCAGAATGACTTTTGTTAAAAAGTAAAAAAATAACAGATGTTGGCAAGGCAATGGAGAAAAGCAGACATTTGTACATTGTCTGTGGAAGGGTAAACTAGTTCAGCCACCATGGAGAGCAATTTGGAGATTTCTCAAACAACTGAGAGTTGAACTACTATCCAACCTAACAATCCTATTACTGAGTATGTACCCAAAGGAAAATAAATCATTCTACTAAAAGGACACATGCACCTGTATGTTCATTACAGTGCTATTCACAATAGCAAAATCATGGAATCAACCTAGGTGTTCACCAATGATGAATTGAATAAAGAAAATGTGGTGCATATACACCATGGAATACTATGCAGCCATAACGAAAAAGAAAATCATGTCCTATGTGACAACATGGATGGAGCTGAAGGCCATTACCTTAAGCAAACTAGCATAGAAACAGAATACACCATGTTCTCATTTATAAGTTGCAGCTAAACACTGTGTACAAATGGACATAAAAAGAGACAATAGACAGTGGGGACTAGTATAAAGGGGAGAAAGAGAGGAGGGAAAGGGCTGAAAAACCAGCTGTTGGGTACCATGCTTACTACTTGAGTGACGGGTTCAGTTATACCCTATACCTCAACAACATGCAATATAACTTTGCAACAAAACCTCCACATATACCTCCTGATCCCAAAATAAAAGTTGGAAAAGAAAAAAAATACTGCAGGACAAGCAAAGAGATATGCCCATTTCAAGTCATACTATTATTTTTTCTGAGTCTATTATCCTATACACACAGAATTTTTTAATCTAACCAATCAGAGGAAAAAACTGGAAAAAACTGTCACTGAACAAAGGAATTAACACCATCAGATTCAAATATGGCTTGAATATAGAAACTATCACACAGGCTTAAACTCACTCTCATTAATAAGTTAACAGATCCTGTGGAAAAGATGGTCAGCTTCCATAAATATATGAGGAATCTGAACTGTAAATTGGAAACTGTGTGGAAGAATCAAATGGAAATGCTGAACATGACAAACCCCATTTCAAGTGAAGAATGCTGATGCGGGGGCCCACATCAGACTCTGACCTCTGTGATGTAAGATCATAATTTTGCATATTGTTTTGAGTCACAAAATTTGTGGGACTTTGTAAAATAAAGTGGAATTTGTGGAATTCCTGCTTTTACAGCAGGAATAAGAAACTAAAATAGGTTCACAGTCACCAAATATGGGGCAGTTGGAACATCAAAGACAATAATTGCCATGGATTAAGACACATTGAATAAATGTACATCAATGAGTTCATAACTATAATGAAAAAACCTCACCTCATTTGTTGTATTTAAAAATGGCAAAGAAAGAGGAAAAAATTAAAAAAGTGATCCTGCCTTTCTCATACCACCTATAGCTCAGGAGGATGGAACAGTGATGAGGAGGACGTTTCTCTTCATAAACACGTTTTATATAAGAAAGAGAAAAGGATGATAGACTCTCACCATCTTGAAACCCCTAATAAATTAAGAGAGCTATGTCAGTACTTCTCTACCAGGGGCAATTTTACCAGTGCCTCATGGAGAGGGAGGATGAGGGCCATCTGGTAGGTAAATGTTAGGAATATTGCTAAGTATCCCACAGTGCACAAAATTTAGATTTTTATTTGAACAAATTGTAATTCTTATGTGTATTGGGTTTTTAAGGAAAACCTTCAGTGGTGTTTCTACGGTTCTTAACTAATGAAAAATATTTTATTTTCAAATAGTTTTCAGTGTCTTTTTAAATTTTTTCTATTTAATGGCTAACTAGACAATGGAGTTTAGAAGAGCATCTTATTTTGTATTCCAGTATCAAGAAAATGTTCGTGCCTTCCACTGGGAATGTCTTTCACAAGCAGCTATGACTTAGAAATTTGTGTAGTGTCAAGGTGATCCAACTAGTTTAATTTATGAAGAATTTAAGTTACTGAGAAAATGCAGCCTTGAAATTTAAAAGTCTATCAAACAAAGAAGATAAAAATTGAAATTTAATAGACAGAATATACGATGGTTAATATTGACCATCAGCTTGATTGGATTGAAAGTTACAAAGTATTGTTCCTAAGTGTGTCTGTGAAGGTGTTACCAAAGAGGATTGATATTTGAGTCAGTGGACTGGGAGAGGCAGACCCACCCACAATCTGGGTGGCCACCATCTAATCAGTCGCCAGCATGGCTATGATAAAAGCTGGCAAAGGCACGTGGAAGGACTAGGTTTCCTGAGTCTTCTGGCCTCCATCTTTCTCCTCTGCTGGATGCTTCCTGACCTCGAACATCAGACTCCACTGCAAGATCTCCAGCTTTTGGACTCTTGGGCCTACCCCAGTGGTTGGCCAGGGGCTCTTGGGCCTTCACCCACAGACTGAAGGTTCCACTGTTGGCTTCCCTACTTTTGAGGTTTTGGAATTCCAACTGGCTTCCTTTCTCCTCAGCTTACAGATGGTCTATTGTGGGACATCACCTTGTGATCACTTGAGTCAATGCTCCATAATAAACTCCTTTGTATATATTCATCTATCCTCTGAGTCCTATCTCTCTCTAAGAACCCTGACTAATACAGACTATGAGACTATAATAGTCTATTTCTTCATACCTAATGTCCACTCTCAGTATTTCTGCTTCCTGAGACATCAAGACTTGGGTAACCCTTCCAGGAAGAAAGTCCAACATGCTTAGGAATGGTTTGAAGGCAAAGGACCAGGAAGAAAGTCCAACATGCTTAGGAATCGTTTGAAGGCAGAGGATTGTGAGACGGTTGATGGAGAAGCACCGTGGGATGGTCACAAACACCATCACCACGTGACCACTAGCAGAACTGAAGCTATAGTGTCTTCAAGTATTTTCCTCCTTGATATATCATGCATATATTTATATTTTTGATTACTTTCTTCTTATCTCTTTCCCATACCATTTTATATGAGGTATGTTCATGATGGTAAATATTCCAGTTTTGTACACAATTTTCAGAATGTTCAGAGAGCATCATCACATTTTAGAAGAGGAATGAGATTCAGATGGCCTTTCCAATCTGGAAGATGAAGTGTTTAGCTGACATCACTTTTAAATGACACTACCTTACTTGTTTCCTTCTGATTGCATCTACCTTAATAATTCAGAGTTCTCTAATGTCTCAAGAGTATTACCCAAGCAGACCCAGCAGCCAGGTTGGTCATCTTGCTTCTGATCTTTCCTTCCATGATCTCATTTGTCAGAGTGATATTTTTAAAATGTAAATCTTTTCAATCTATACCCTTCTAAACATTCTTTACAGATTATTGTTTCCTATCGGAACAAAGTTAAAAGATACTTATACATTTGACACCTTCCAGGATCTGACCATGTCTAACCCGTCTGCTTTATCCTCACTACTTCCTCACTCTTCTCTGCCCTGAAATTGAACTTCCAACATTTTTTGAACTTTCATGCTTGCCCACATCTCTACAACTTTGTACAGGTTGTTTCTTGTTTGGGTTTTTTTGTCACCTTGACAACTTGTTCTTACATTCCTGGTCTCAACCCAAGGGTCCCTTTATAGGAAGCCTTCTGCCATCATCCCCAGTGGGCTTCCCTTCATTATCATTGTTCCATTATCTGTCATCCTTGCTATGTAAAATTATTCTTGTCAGGATACCGTCATATTGACTACTGTGTCCAACAACCATATATTGATACTGACACAGAATAGATACTCTGCTGATAATACCTGAAATGCAAGTTTAATTTGCCAGCGTTGTCATCCTCTAGGATACCTGCCTGTCTTGCAAATTACTATTCATATAAAATTCAGTTGTCAAACAGGCTTTGGGTCATATGTCTTCAACACTGTTTGAATGCTTAGATTCTATGATAATGTGTTGACAAACGTAAGAACTCCAAATCAACTGACTTAAAGAAGACACAAAAGGATGACAGGACTTTGACTCCTTCAAGGGAATAGGAAGCCCACCTATTATCATATTCTTTCTTTCCTTTCCCCTTTTCAATTACATCTTCTCCTTCTTTTACATGGTTTTGCTTCTTTCCAAAGGAAGGTCCAATCTCAGACAAGCCCAGGATACAAGACTAACAAAAGTTCACCTATGGCTCTGTTGTGTGTAAGTTCACCCATGGCTCTGTTGTGTGTATGAGGGTGGGGAAGATGGGGGGGGTGTAAGAGAAGTTCGCAACATGGAGACTTCAGGGTAACATTTGCACAGTTGACTGATTTTTCTTGATGTTCCAAAATTCATATTAAATGATCTTACCCTTCATTGACTTTGGCTGAAGAGTTTGTCCTTAGATTAACTATGTCTTTGACATTTCATACAGTATCTCATAATTTGTGTGCTTTTTTCTGTGTTTCTAAAGATTCAGAGAAAGAGCATATAGATTTTTCAGAGATTGATCATTTTTAATATTTTAAATGATATACTTATTAAGCAGTAAAATCCTTCTCAAACTGTTTGGATACTGGCAAGGAGTGCCTGAAGCTTAACTTTCTTGGTCATTAATAGTCTTTAGTACAAATGGCCATTGATATTTTTCCACTGAACTACCTCAGGCATTCAGGAAAAGACGTTATGTTCACATTTTGTAGGTCCTGCACAAAAACATTTTAATCAGCCTTGACAATAACACTTTTCTCAGAATGTTGACTCACACAATTACTGCATGTGGTGACATACACTGCACATTAATCAAGGTGAGTCTTCAAATGTAAAAATACATTTTGTTTTCAATGGAAATACCATAACCTTTTATAAAATATGGATGCGTAAGTACCAGTGGTCCAAGCTAAGATCAATGAATAGGTCTGTGATTAAAAACTATGTGACAAATCAAAACATTAAGTAGTAATTTTTTTCAATTATTGTCAGGCCATAAGAGTGGAGGTAGAGGAAGTGTGGGAATTTTTATAACAGCAGTATCTAACTCCACTGTGCATAAAAATACCCCCACCTCCCACACCCCATCCAACTCAACCACTCAGCCTCCTACATAACATCCGCAGTACATGCTACGTCATCTCCTTCCTGGTTGCCAGGACAACGTAGTTTATACCTGTCAAATCTGTGTTGGGTGGAGAACAATGAGGCAAAGCTGTTTTCTCTAAGTTATGCTCATGAGTCAGGTTGGCAGCGTTGATGTTAACCCAGAGAATTTCCATAATAGTTTATGCCAGGCCCCCTTCACCTCTTTATTCCTTAGGCTGTAAATCATAGGATTCAGCATTGGTGTCAAAATGGCATAAAAGAGAGAGATCAACTTCTCCTGAAGGGCAGAGGGACCAGAATGGGGCTGGATGTAAGTGAAAATGGCCATGCCATAGCACAGGGCAACCACCGTGAGGTGAGAGGCACATGTCTGGAAGGCTTTCTTTCTTCCCTCTGTGGACTGAATCTTTAGGATGGCAGAGATGATCCAGATGTAGGACAAAAGAACCAGATAGAAGGGTGTCATCAGAAGAAGAATACTAGACACCATGATGGCGACCTCATTGGAGGAGGTGTCCACACAAACCAGCCTGACCACTGCTAGAAGTTCACAGGATATGTGATCAATAAGCTTGTTTGTGCACATGGGCAGCTGAAAGGTGATGGTGGTCTGCACAAGAGAGTTGATGGATCCACTGACCCAGGATATGACGGCCAACTTAGCACACAGTGCTCCGTGCATGATGGCCGAGTATCGCAGGGGGTCACACACAGCCACGTAGCGGTCATAGGCCATCACTGCCAGGAGAACAAACTCAATCCCACCCAAGGCCAGGGAGAAAAATAACTGTGCTGCACAGCTCCGGAATGGGATGGCTTTATGTTCTACAAGAAAATGTGCCAACAGCTGAGGGACTATGCTTGTGGCATAGGAGACATCAACAAGGGAGAGGTTGGTGAGAAAGAAATACATGGGAGTGTGGAGTCGGCTGTCCAGCCTGATCAGAAGAACAATGAGACAGTTTCCCAGCAGGGTCACCACATACATGACCAAGAACAGGACAAAGAGGAAGACCTGAGTGTCCCAGTCACTGGACAGGCCGAGGAGAATAAATTCACTCACCCAAGTCTGGTTATCTCTTTCCATTTAAAAAAATTCAAGAATTATTAATCTGTGAAGAGAGTCAGAAAAAAAACAGAAGCTGTTGAACAATCATAAGAGTAACTTGTTTGAAAGCATTCTGTACGTGCCAGCCAGCCTTACGCAGGTACTTCAGGTCATTTATTGGCCAAAATGATAGCCTTGACTCCACACTCATTATACCTACTTCGCATCAGGGAGACAAGTCATGGCCTTTAAAAGACACAATTTGATATCAGGAAAGTCAGTTAAATCCTGGAAATAATGCATTGCAACATTAGGAATTCTACATCTTTACCAACTTACTTCAGATTCCAGGGCAAGGCGAGAATTGCAAATGACAACCACATGTAAAATTATAAGCAATGAAGAAGAATATGGTTGGTAAGTTAAAGAATCACCTTAAACATGTCAACTAGACCTATCTTGATGAACTGTGTAAATCTACTACAAAAGGAGAGATTTGGAAGAAGCAAGGCCTTGAGGAATATCTCACCTGGAAACCTAGGTTTAAGACTGATTTTATTAGGCAGATTCTTGATGTTGTTATATTGATAAACATTATATATACAAGAGGACATTATTACATAACTCATGAATACATTTTACATCAAACGTAGATACCATGCGGGGGAAGTACTTTTTGAACTTTGTACTGGTAGTACGACTGTACAATCATGGGTTTTAGTAGTAACAGGATCTCTGTGTTGGGGTAGGTAAGCCAACAAACATGATTTCCCTGCATTCTCTCCACAAATTCAGATACAAATAAAATTGGAGACAACCTGTAACATATCTGAGAACATAGGGATGGCTTAGATGCTTGGAGGATCCTGGAGCCCACTGGTCTTTTGGGTAGCCTTTGATCTCTTTTTGGGTTGGGGTAGGGGTAGAGATTATAATTGTACTTTGGTCTCTTATTTTTTATTTTATTATTATTATTATTGCCCTTTTCAACTTGCTGCTGTTGCTATGGCCACTAAAGAAAACAAATATGAATATGAATGCTTAGACAGATACAAGGGAGGAAAAGAAAGCAGGTGTTTAAGGACTCTTCTTCATTGCCCAAAACAGAGAAGATATGAATTCACTTGAATGTACATTGGAACGGAGATTCCCTTCTCCTTACTTTTGCTCAGCAAGTGCTTAGTCAGGAAAACTGATGTTATACATCAGTTTTGAACATCAAACAAGTTACACTGTAAAAAAAAAAAAAGAAAAAATTAGAACCAATTCCTTCTTATTCCATGTCTGCCTCTTCATGAGCTTTCCTTTTACTGCAGTGTTCACAATAAGGGAAAAGCGGGAAAGAAAGAAGGCAGGAGGCATTGAGGGCAGAAACAGGTCTGGACAGACCAGGATCTCTTACCTACAAGAGAAAGACTGTCAATGCTTCAACTCTCTTATTTGATAAAGGATTAAGCAAAATATGTAGTTTCAGACATGCTGATTCCTTTCATAGTTTACATCCATTTTTTCTAACATCTCCCTAATGTTCTTCTTAAGACCTTCCTTCTCTTACATTTCACCCTCAGGGTGCTTTCCTAAAATCATAATGAGCCTGGGAATACATTTGATTGCCTCAGACATTCAAATTTAAATTCTAAAACCTCAAAAACATTTCATTAAAAGAAAACTTGTCAATTATTGTTGAATAGATTCCAGATTTGCATCTGAATTAGACATCTTTCCATTAACTTGGCAAACACCTATAAAGCGCCATTGTTGTTAGATGGATTTGTAGTATGATTACTACCCTTAATTTTCATAGAGAGCTGACCTATTAGTAAGGGAAAAGATGTAGTGATCTTCCCCACATCTTTTGCTTCTCTGCCTCACCGGAGACCCTGCAAGCCCATGACTCACTGCTACTCTCAGGCACCCCACACATCCTCCACTATACTCTATGTCACATTACTAATGAGTGACAGTGTCTCATCTCAGAGAAAGTGTGTACTGCAGAGTCTAACAGCTGCTGTTTTGTATCCACATCTGTTTGTTCTGCTTCCTGAGACTTGGAGCAAGATACTTAGCCTCTCTGAGTCTCATATTCTTCATGTGTGAGATGTGCCTACTATTGGCCAGCTGAAGGGTCCCGGGTGAAATTAAAGGAGTTGGGGGACTAAAGTTCCTGTAGGAGTGCCTGGGACAGGTGCCCGTTGTTTACTAATGATCCTTAGTCTTGATTTCATGCTCTCTCTTTTGGAATCTTCTTTATTCACGTACTCCCTCTCTCTACCATCCTCAGGTTTCTCTTGCTCCTGAGCAACTCCCTCTCCCTCATTATAAAAGAAACTATATAGGCATCTCAATTTAGGAAGCTTTTCTGTATATTTACCCCTGTGAATCCCTCTTCATCTCACATCTCTGATGATTAGAATCCATTTTCTGGATTTATTTCCTAATATTTATTCCTTAGCCTGAAAACATTTCCACCCACACCAATCTATAGAATTTGAAAACTTAAAGTTTACTGATAACCTACCATCATCAGTTCCAGAGATTTTTTTTTTATTCTACTTGGATTCTTTATTTAGCTTTTAACAACAATACCTATTTGTTCCTTCAAACTTGCAACTGTCATGGACTTCTGTCCTGATGGTCCTCTAATCAAATTTGTCTTGTCAGTTTTCTTAACCTTCCTAGATCTCCTGCTCTGTTCTATGAGCATTAACGAAGGTTCTGTGCTCCGAACTTGTACTCAACATCTACAATTTTTCTTGGAAGTCTTTTTGTTTCTAGTTATAATAATTACTATCAATTTTGTTTCTAGCTATAATAATTACTATCAGGTCTATATGGCTCACCCTCAATTTTACATTTATTTTCTAGGTTTCTCTCAAAAACTCCAAATGCATTCCAGAAAAGCTGAATGAATGTTTTCCTAAATGTCTCACCAATGCCTGTATTCCTCTATTCACAAATGAAATTCCCTCCTGAATTCTTTTTTCCTATCAGCAGAATTAGATTTCTCCTTCTCTCTCAATGAATCATCTTTTATTTTTCCCTCTTCTTCTGCATGCCACAGAATACATTCTTTTCCTTTATTTTATTATATATCCACCAATCTTCCCCTTACTTTCAGCTACATTTACCCTTTCCCTCTTTATTCCCACCTTCTAGAGTACCAGAGCTTCCTTGTAAATTTCCCTAATGTAACTTTCATTCACTCCAAAAATCGTAGCCTACTTCAAGTTAATTATATAAAATGCAAATGTTTATGTTATTTTTAAGCACAAACAGATCTATAATATCTAAGTGCCTAAAGATTTAAGTTTATCCTGGGCAGAATACTTTTCATCCATTCCATAGTCTGCTCTTCTTCTATGATTAACTTTTATTTTCCTAACTATGGCATTTATTGTCATGCCCTGTGTTTTCCAGCAAAGTCTTTTATTACAATAGGCTGCTAATACTTAAATATTTTTCATTGATATGTTAACTAATTTTTATTAACCCATCAAGTTTGTTGTTTTTCCAATGGCCATTGTGAGTTTCAAAATAATTAATATTCAAAAATATATCTTGTCCCTAACGTTTTTGGACTCACGTTAAAGAAAATGTAACCTTCATTTGGAAAGCCAGCTAAAAAGGAAACATGTGTAAGCCAAATTATTTTAACACACCTTCAGATAAAACCATCTCTACATTACTCTGGGCTCACCTTCCAGCTAAATATAACTGGCTTTCTATTCTTTTTTTTAATAAATATATATATTTTATTGCATTTTAGGTTTTGGGGTACATGTGAAGAACCAGTAAGATTGTGTATAGGTACATACATGGCAACGTGGTTTGCTGTTTTCCTCCCCATCGCCTATATCTGGCATTTCTCCCCATGTTATCCCTCCCTATCTCTCCACCCCCTGCTGTCCCTCCCCTAGTTCCCCCCTACAGACCCCAGTATGTGATGCTCCCCTTCCTGTGTCCATGTATTTTCATCATGGTGAATGGATTAGGTACCAGATAACATGCTTCATATCCAAGCAGTCCTACAGGGAGCCAGAGCTTGATCTTTACTGCTCTAACTAATTTGTGGAATCTGGACTTCCCCTACACCAGTGACATTCATTGAAGTCAACTAACTAAGGAAAAAATGTGAGAATACTTCCTCAATTTGTCTGTACAAACCAGACTATCAAAACCTCTTACTACAAGATTTGGCATGCAGCCAAGTTACAAAACCAGTACTGGACAATGAACACAGCTAATAGTCCTATTTAGCTCTTTGTGGTGTGCGCGTGTGACTGTGTACCCTTCTCAATACTTGTTCAACTCCAACAACGTTAACTTTTTGCCAAGCATCTAATAGTCCTTTAGTAAGCAATAAAGTTCTATTTTATATTCTTAGAGTTATATTTTCCTCATACTCAACAAACATCAAATCAAATTTTTCTATATATGTTTTGAGCTTTCCCTTGACTGTTGGAAATAACCAATTCATGCTGCCTGCTCAGAACATAGTATTGAAGAATGACATACTCTGTGATTTGCCTCCATAAACAGGAGCACAATGAGGAAAGAAATTCCTATTGCCTGTGATTTGGGGTGAATGTAATCACTGTGACCATAAGAAATAGAAAACAGTGTGTGATACAGTAAGACACATTTGAAATAGTCTGTGAATGATTATCTCTTGTAAAGCCCTGTCACTAATGCCTGAAATTTATTACACTTATATTGAGCATTGTCCTTTTCTGCAAAGTGTCTAAAAATGCAGTAATGCTAAATGAAACATTTATAATAAAGTATCTAAACGTTATCAACTGATATAACAGCTTACACTGATCCTTTACAATACATCATGTAACAGTAAAAACTGGAGTTTTAGATGTAAATAACCTAAAAACTGCAGGAAAAAATCAGGGAAGAGGTTAGCAAAGATTAAAATTTTCTAGTCAAAATAGAAAATTCCTTTATTGGAATGGCCAAGCTGAGCTAATTAATATATGCATCACATCACATATGTATTATTTTTGTAACAATAATTCTCACGATCTGTATACAGTAAATATACACAATTTTCATTTGTCAAACAAATAAAAGAAAACAAATTTACTTTTTTTGGACCCATGTAAAAGATCCTCCCTGTGCCTTCTCTGTTTATCCAGTAATCATTAGATCCAGTAATCAACAGTCACAGCAAATATCAGGACTTAAATGTTCTTCTACCTGTGACAAAGAAAGACCAAAAAAAGTAAGTGTTTAGACTCCTCACACAGTTCCTTTTACATAACAAATAAAAACCCTAATTTAACAGTTAAATTTCAATCAATCATGATCTTTCTTTAATACAGCAAATCTATGTATTGATTCCATGGGATCTATTTCCTTTACTGTAAAAGTTAAATCTAAATTGCAACCCTATCTTGATCAATTCACCCATTACTCTTTTTCTTATTGTTTCAATTGACAATATCTTATAATATCTTTGAAAATACATGTCCCTCGAACAAGATGAAGAGTAAAAAATTCACAGAACCATGCTAGCAGATGTTCAAACCTGTACTAGCCTTTATCTGGATGGGATAGATAAAATT